CACCCACTGATATGATTTTTTGTTCTTTGATGCATGATACCTGGTACCCAGACTAATTTTTAAAATATTCTTTTATAACTAATTTAATTCTTGATGTACCATATATACTCGAGTATAAGCCAACATGAATATCAGCCAAGGCACCTAATTTTACCACAAAAACTACATTAAAATGTGCTAAAAATTTTGCCTTGTACTTGAGTATATATGGTATATATATTTATGTGCTGGCATTTGAAACTTAAAACATTACACATAAAAAGTTTTTTAATTAATCCTTGGAAAAATTTTCAACTCATACACAATCTCCCCCTACCATTCTCAATGCCCCTGCCTGACATCCTACTAGGAGTAATGAAATTCAATTAAGCCAGAAAGTGAAGCAGGAACAGGGGATACCCAGGAAGTGAGTACAGAGTCACATGGAGTGCTGCCAGCCTCAGAAATCAGGCTCATGACCCAAGCAAGAAGGTAGGAAAGAACGGCAAAAAATTGGCCAGTTCTCCAGAGTGTCTCTTATATAAGGGTTCACACCCCCAAGGAAACATAATCAGGCCATATTGTGATTGAGAAGTTGGACCCCACCCATACCTTCTCACAAGTGTAACCAAGTTGACGCAAAAAATAACTATCACAGGTAACCTTTGCCAACATGGCTCCTGTACACAACTCTTTAATGATACATTATCTGCATAAAGACAATAATACAATCATACTTGCATACAGGATACAACAAACACATACAACCAAAATAGCACATCCCATTTACATCTTGTATTTAATAAGTGAATAAAAGCTATTTGATACTTAGCAATCTGTTAACAGTCACCTATACCTGAATCCTATAATGGGCTCAACATCTTCCCCACATCCTCTTCCCTAGACACATAAAGAAAACAGAAAACGGCTGCAGTACTGAGAAGCCCACAACAAAAAATCCACTGACAAACATCGCCAGGCTCTTATGAGTTGCTCTGGAGCTGTGCTGTCAAAGCCAATCCCAATTTTATTCGCACATTGTAATTTCTGTACACCCACCTAGATAAGAGAAGTTGGACAAAAGAATGTATATATGTATATTCTTCATATATATATATATGAAGAAAATAAAGGGACCGATGGCCCCGGAGGGACATGGGAGTGCAGGAGGTAGAGGAAGGGAGGAGGGTT